GGTGCAGAGTTAGGTACAGACGACCAATGTGTGTGGTTTGAAGATTACCCTGCTAACGTAATCCGTACTGTAACCGACGATTTAACCGTGTCTTAAATGAAATACGAGTGTTCCGTAAATAAATAAATAAACCGGCGGACCCAGATCCGGAGAAGAGCCTCTCGGTCGTTGTAGAATTTCCTGAAGTACCACTGAACCAGATCGATATACTGTCACTGCTTCTTCGATTGTCGACACCTTTACTGCACGTGGGCAAGTAAAGAGCAAGTGCTTGATGTCCTCAAGTCCTTTGTTAGTTGTTACAGGTCGGACACACTGGGGAGACCTTGATGTGTCTATGAGCAAGAACAGCCATGCCCAGGATCAGACCATGAAGAGCCCTCCATAAGAATATCTTTACCGTGCTGGGTACTTTCAATTTTCAAAGTACTCCCTCCGTTCCATAATATAAGAACATTTTTGACACTAGGGAGTATTTCCCACGCCGGGTTAGCTGCAGGTGGACCCTGAATGCTTGTGGTTCTCAGCCCCAATTGATGCTCCCACTCAACATCATACGCCAGAGAACGAGAAGGATTTGGTTCCATTCTAAGCAACAAAATCCACAAATTGATGCTCTGAGAGTGGGATTTTAAGTGAGTAAATAGCAAAATACTACCACATTACGGACTAGGGTTACAAAGAACTACCATTTTTTTGTTTCTTAAAACGCTACCAATATTTTGGTTGTCTGTCTCAAAAAATACTATTGTTGAACGGTTATATTTTAATCCGGTTTATGACATGGAGGGCCTGCTCATCAGGTCCACGTGGCATAAATGTCAACACCGTTATCTAAACAGTTAGGTTTGACTGTTTGCTGACCGGTGGGACCCACATGTCAGCCACACTAAAATCCATGATGATTTTATTCCAAAGAACCCGAAATTCCATGCTGCCCTTCCCCATCTTCCTCTTCCTCCCGAGAGCGCCACCTCATATCCCGACCTCCACCAGTCGCAGCGGCGCGACATGGCATACCCAGGAGCTCGGTGGCAACGGAAGCATCAACAAGGCGCAGCAGGGGAGGCATGCAGTAGAGTGTCGGTGGCAAGAAGCGGCTAGTAGCGGCGGCGAAAAGCAGAATCGGCAAGCAGTCGCGGCGGCAAGAAGCAGCGGCAGCAAGCAGCGGCGGCGGCATGCAGAAGTAGCGGCAGCACCCAGCCGCAACTCCCATTACGCTCGCCCCAACCGCCCGCTGGACCGCGGCACACCCACCAGGAGTTCGACGGTGGCGCGATCTTCACAAGGGCGTGATAGGGCATAGCTCCGACGGCACCACAACGAGCTCGTCGGCGCCGGGCCAAGTATGATTATGCTCCACAACCAGAGGGCCGTAGGGACCTGTGTAGCAGGCAGCAACACCACAATCGGCCACCACCACACCCGACAATAGGGACCCGGTTGCTTTTTTATAAATGTCACAGGGATCTGATTGCTTTTTGTTTTTTGGAAGGGACCGACATGTGGACCCTGTGTCATAATGGTCAACCTAACTGTCAAAATTAACGATGTTGACTTTTATGCCACGTCAGACTTGATGGATGGGCCATCGTTGTCAAAATCGCGGTCAGAAATTAACGCTCCATCAACTAGTGTTTATTGGAAGAGCCAACCAAAATAGTGGTAGCGTTTTGAGAAATAAAAAAAAGGGTAGTTTTTTGTAACCCTAGCCAGTAATGTGGGTGGTTTTTGCTATTTACTCCATTTTAAGTATATTCTCAGCATCTACCGGAAGAAAGATACTTCTGATGAGCTCCTCATCCCACCTCTTCATGTCACGCAATATCAACTCATCAACTGTTCTCAACAGTGTGCTTCCTCTTCTTGTGAACACCATCCTCGTTGGACTTGAGGGGATCCAATGATCCTCCCATATATTGATTTTCTCACCAGTTCCAACTCTGCATATGTGGCCTCTCCTAGAAGTTTGTAGTCCAGCGAAGATACTTTGCCACGTGTAGGATGAGCCTTTGTTCAGTTCTACTTTGAGTACTATATTACGATCCAGTAAATATTTAGCTTTAAGCACACAGGCACATAAGGTTTCAGGGTGTGAGATCATTCTCCAACTTTGTTTTGCCAACATTGCCAAGTTAAAAGCATGGAGATCCCTGAATCCCATACTACCTCTCGCCTTGGGGAGGCACATTTTCCATCAAGCCACCCAGTGCATTTTCTTCTCTTCCTCTGTATCTCCCCACCAAAACGTTGTCGTAGCATCAATGATCTCTTTACAAATCTTCTTCAGTATCTTGAACACAGCCATAGCAACACACATAAATTGATTGAATAATAGTTTTCAGCAAAATCTCCTTACCCCCGAAGGACAACAACTTTTCGTTCCATCCATTGAGGCGATTTACTACCCTCTCCACTAAGTGGGTGAAGCTGTCACTCTTATTTAAACCGATCATTGATGGGAGCCCAAGATAAGTATCAAAGAGAGCCTCTGTTATGATATTTAGTTCTGCACACACTTGGACTTTAACGTACTCTCTTCGTTCCTAAATATTTATCTTTTTAGAGATTTTAACAGTGACTACATAAGGAGCAAAATGAGTGAATCTACACTCTAAAATATGTTTATATACATCCATATGTAGTAGTCCATTTAAAATCTCTAAAAAGACAAATATTTAAGAACGGAGGGAGTACATTAACATTGGGACTCGCCTCGAGCTTGCGCAATAATCATATAGTACCTGTCTTAATGAGGTTACATTATTTATATCCACTTTCATCAGGATTAGAAAATCATCAACAATCCCCGTAAAAAGAATCATCAACAAAAAGTAGATGAGAGACCGATGGTCTGATCCTTCAGATGTGCACAAAAGACTGAATTTTTGACTCGTGTGGTGCTTTAGCCAAATTGTCCATAACTAAAAATCATCTACGTGAGATTTTCCAAAACTGTAAAAAAAAACTCAAACTTCTTCTTTTTATATACTATTTGACTATTATAACAACGTTCCGTTATTTCCTGTCTCTCAAATAAAATTCTGCAATCTTAATACGATAGATAGAAGATACAGTACGTACCTAAAGTAAAATGTTAGTAATGCCGTATATTTGCATTGCACATGCCATGCATACATAAGCACCGCCCTTATTTATGTTTCCTGGCGAATTAAAACTAGCAATAAACGCTATAAAAAGAGGTGAACACCCTGCGCCGCCTCTTTAATTTGACTCGGCAAGCTATCGCTAGGGCTGTAGGGCACCATCAGGCCCGGTCCTGCGGGGGGGCGAGCGGGGCGGCCGCCCCGGGCCCCGCAAAGGGAAGGGGCCCCCACCAGGGTGCTCTACTTCGTACTGGGCTACGCATGCGCAGGAAAAAAAATGAAACAAGGCCTGGCCCGAGTAGTAGCACACAGGCGCACTGCTATAGTCCTTCCTCACGCACATACACGCCGGCGGATCGTGCTGATCGATTCGCTTTGAGGCTCGCAGCCGCCGCCGCCGAAAACAGTCATCCGCCGCCACTTGCCTCCTCTCTAAAATTGATTATTCCTCTACAGCTCTGATCTTTACGAAACCGTCCCAGCCAATCCATCCGTCTAATGGATCTGAAGTTGATATATAGGTACGTCTCATATCAAAATTCTCTTATTTATCTTAGGGTTTATAGATGTTTCAGTTTTTTGGATCCACCCAAGGTTTAGATCGGCGATTGTGTGGACGACAGAATTATGGCTAGGGGATTCATGTCACCCCCATCACAATTCAAACAAATAGTATAATTATATCAGATTAGTTTCTCTTCTAATTTCATTTGTATTACTGTATTACTATTTTCATTGAGTACTACAGTCCTAATCCTAAGAACTCTTGCTGATTTCGCAGGTAATAACAATATAATACAGCACGAAATCTCGGCTCAATTCCGTGCAAGGATTTGAGATGTCACTTCCTGAAGATGAACGAGGTGCCAAGAAAAGTAGAGAGGTATGTACTTTTCTGAACATATTTTTTGTGATACATAGGTAACTGAGATCTTTAATTACTGTGAGTTTATTAAAATGCATTAGGCATAATATTCAGAAAATATGCATCGTATACATGTTAGTTAATACGAGCTAGTACAACCAAAGTAGTAGCGCAGAGTGTTGCTGTTCAAGCGGGAAGCAACATGACGCCACATGAGACTGGACATGCACGCAGGACGATATGTTACTGCCTCATGCGATGCTTCTCCTGAGTCCTGAACGCCCTCAGGACTTACGTGTCACCGGTCACAACTGATATTTGGATGACCACACCCTGTCACCGAGAGGCGAGGGGCTAAGTCGTATGTCGAAAGTCACCAAGAAATTATATTATTATATATATAATTACTTTTATGTTTGTCTTAAGGGCCCCCATATTCTAGTTTCGCCCCGGGCCCCCGAAACCTCAGGACCGGCCCTGGGCACCATGGAGAAGGCGGCGAGGCGCCCAAGCAAGAAGGCTCGCAGGACGCCTGCCGACTCCGACGGCCTGACGGCGCTCGCCCTCCGCCTCTCCAAAAAATTCTCAGGCCGCGAGGAGTACGAGGGCCAGAACATCATGTTCTCGCCGCTGTCCATCTACACCGCCTTGGGCCTCCTGGCGGCCGGCGCCCAGGGCGACACTCTGGACGAGATCCTGGCCGTGCTCGGTGCGACGTCGCGCGACGAGGTCGCGGCGGTCATGCGACTAGTGTCCAAGCACGCCCTCGCCGCCGACGATCCCTCCGGCCCGCTGGTCGTTACGTCCGCGTGCAGCGTGTGGTGCCACAAAGATCTGCCGCTGAAGCCGGCCTACCGGAAGGCCGCCGTCAAGTCCTACAAGGCGGACGCACGCGCCGTCGACTTTGTGAGAAAGGCCAGTACAATACTAAATACTTATTCAGCGATGCCATCGATCTGTAAAAATATATTGAGATCTCAAATCTTTTGATTTCAAGTTTTAACCCTGAACGATCTGTCTCCTGATGCATGCAGCCGGAGGATGCGAGGAAGGAGATCAACCGGTGGGTCGCCAAGGCCACGAAGAAGCTCATCACCTCCGTCCTACCACGGGGCTCAGTGCACGGCCACACCAGGCTCGTGCTTACCAATGCCATCTACATCAAGGGCAAGTGGGAGAACGCCTTCAGCAAGAGCCGCACCAAAGACGACACGTTCCACCGCCTCGACGGCAGCACCGTCCGCGTGCCCTTCATGGACGGAAACGGACGCGACAAGTACCTGGTGTCCACATTTGACGGGTTCAAGGTGCTTAAGCTCCCCTACAAGAAGGCGGCCAACAACGGCGCCACTTATTCGATGTGTGTCTTCCTCCCGACCGCGCGAGACGGGCTGCGTAGCCTTGCCGACGAGATGGCGACCGGCGGGCCAAGCTTCCTGTTCGACCACCTGCCGACTCAGTCTAGGAGCGTGACCAAGCTCCGGCTACCCAAGTTCAAGCTGTCCTTCTTCTGTAGCATGAAGAAAGTTCTCGAGAGCTTGGGGCTCCGGGCGGCGTTCAGCGGGGAGGCCGATCTGTCTGACATGGTGGACAAGGACTCGGCCGGAAACGACGTGCCGCTGCGGGTAGAGGATGTGTTTCACAGGGCGGTTGTGGAAGTGAACGAGGAAGGCACCGAGGCGGCTGCATTCACCGCCGTCATGACCGTATTATATTGTTGGACCCCTCCGTCCGTGCCTGTTGATTTTGTAGCAGACCATCCATTTGCCTTCTACATAGTTGAGGAGGTGTCCCGTGCGGTGGTCTTTGCCGGTCACGTCCTCGACCCTTCTGAAACCGAGTGATAAAAGCTATCATGTGTCGAAGATAGATACAGAAGCTCTTTTTAATTGGCACCATAGATCTACCAGCAATGCTACATCTGCAGTGGTTTTACAGGAGTTTTACGGGCTAGGCTGAGATGGAGTGTGTTGATTGGTTGTTAAGATGAAGCGGGACCCACCCTGAAAATCAGAGTGGAAGCGATTAGTGAGAGTAGAAGGTTAGTCCGTTAATTCTTGTAAAAGTTTCACGTACGTCTAGCATTTTTGATAGATCTACTATGAAAAGTTTTCTTCGTTTACTTTAGACAAGACAACTATTAGTCCAACATATTCGGATATATGGTCACGCTCTTTTCATCATAATATTTGCAACATAAATGTTGTTACAAAAAAACATGGATGTCTTCTGCATTGTTTATGAAATACTAGTATGTGTTTGCTGATGGAAAAATGTTGCGGGTGTTAGTTCTCTGGTTTGATCTTCATTCTCTCCACTCACGGTAGACAGAAATCTCACGTGACTTGGGCCCTGTTTGTTTCAACTTCAACTTCAGTTGGCCTCGGATCCCGTGGATTCATTTCACCGGCAAAAGTGAGCTTTGCCACTGAAGTACACGTGCTTCAGAAATTCCACTGAAAATGGATTCAGCTTCACTGGCAAAGCATATTCCACATACTTTGTTTCAGCTTCTGATTTTTTTCAACGAGGATCTGTTAATTAAATCTGATGAAACAAACAAGGCCTTAGATGGTCTTCAATTGACACAGTATATCTACTGCCTTTCTTTGGCTCACTTTAGATCGGTAGTTAACTTTTCACCACAATATTCATATAAATGATCTTACCGAAACACGGATATTTTGTGCCATTTTTATTGAGATTTTTTTATGCATAAGTCGTTGAACCTTCTCAAAGACTCCCTTTGCACTGAGAACACAATTCAGAGCCCTCCTTCTCACAAGAAGGCAAACCTTGTACGTTGATCGAATCTTCTTTCGCATCCAGAAGAGAGGCTGTGGGCTATCTGAGAGAGTGGTTCAGGTGACTACCGGAGTCATTGATTAAGCAGGTCAGATGGGCTTAGTAGGGATCAAACCTACAATATCACCGTACCAACACGATTGGCTGGTGTTGCTGATACCGGACCCGTTATAACCCCGATTGGAAGGGCAGGCCAGTCTGAGGCTCTGGGGATGCGAGGCCATTGAAAGGTAGTATCCCATATTCTATGATGGAGATAGAGCATTAATTGCAGTTTTCACCCCACCTTAACGACCGAGCGAGGGATGAAATCTTTCGAGAATGAAACAACATTCATGGAATGAGTTGAGGCAAAACCTCCAGCTCTTTTTGAGAGTCAGGGGCTTTAAAAGCGCTTTAAAAAGGGTTGTCTGCATTACTGAATTCACTATATCAAATTGTAGTAAAAACAAGGGGCCACGTAGACTATTCTGAGGTGGTATGCTAAATCCATGATCAACTGATGTAGCTAGTGTGACTCGTTGGTGTTAGCTATCTTATTTCATCTTAATTAATCTTTCCACCCCCACATGAACCTCGAAAAATGGTGGCTCAAAACATTCACTTAGATGTTAGGAAATCTTAGGCTTTATTCTGTGACATTTACGCACACCAACGTACCTGGTGAGTAAAGAGGAGGCAGCTTCTCGTTGATGCGTCATAATCTAGCAGCGAAGTAGAGTAGATTGACGACTAAGTGAAATTATTTGACGCTCTTAGATCACGGTGCAGCATGGCAGTGGAGGCATGTGTGGTATCCTCATTAGCAATGGATGGGTACCACGGTATTCCATAGGATTGCCACTAAAGCGTTCCATAAATGATCATGAACTGGAGAAATATTTGGGGAAGAAGCCTAGTACCACATGCTTCTTTTTTTCTCATCACAATTATCTTTGGTTTTATATCCTTGTTGCAAATAGCCTCGCTCCTATGGCGGACGAAACATGTCGTCAAGGCTGATAAGGGAGAACAGACACTATAAGAAGGTTGAAGACCTGTGGAGAGGGGGTGTTATCCACCCATCATCTCTCGCGTGCTAATCTGGGGCATCCATCTCTACCTTCAATTTTTCTACTTTTGAACCATAAGAGTTGTGTTTCTATTGTGGTCTCCCCCCATGCTATTAGGCTGGATAATTTCTCCAACTCAAGTAAAAGAGTTTGAATTATCAAAATTCTAAGTCATAGTATTTTTAGAGAACGATGACACTTTATTAACCAAGCAACACTACAAAGAGTGTCCTGGATACACACTGGAGTAGAATGAAAAATAGAAAGACCACTAGAGTTCATAAAAGACTTAACTAGAACATACATGAACTAAACCATTAGATTGCCGATCAACATGCTTGAAGATCGCCCGAAGCCGCGTGTTTGATGTATGCCACCACAGATCCAATAGACAGAAGAGTTTAATCATTCCACCAAAGCGAGGCAGTCTAAGGCGAAGATCACCATGAAACATTCGTCCCGTGTTAGGTAGCATAAAGAGCAAATGTCTCGTCATGGCATGATCATGCTCCTGCTGAAAGGAACGGGTTACAAGAGGAGCTTTGTAGCACTCAAAAGAAATATCAGGGTGAGTCTTAACCTTGTAGACCCACTAGGACCGGTCCTGAGATTTTGGGGCCCCAGCGCAAAACAAGAACCAGTGGCCCTTATATATTATCTTAAATTTTCCTTTTCTAACTTTCTAGATGCAAAGTCACTGATGATGATATCAATATCAATCGTATTGAATAATATCTTTTCAATCTGTATTTTACCTAACCAAAAATCTGCCTTGGCACATTTACGGACCTCACATTGTTTTTGTCATTATATATTTATTTATAAGATGCACATGCTTCTTGCAGTACGACAAAAAATAATCACATAAGGAAGCATACCTCGGCCGTTATGAACACATCAGTTGCCTCCTTATACATTTTCTTCATTAGGAATTTGAGAAATAAACAGAAGATTCATTGTATTACTTGATATCATATGCAGATACAAAACATCATTTTGTGATACTGATCTAAAATGAAAATTTTACAAGGAAGGGACCATCTGAATCCCTTGGAGATAATCCAATTGTTTTTAATCCAAGCGATTCATGGGGACTACTATTTCTTCCGCATAGAGCAAGAAAAGGGCAGAAATCTCAAAAACCATACAAACTGACATGATTCAATTAAAAAAAAGCAATGCGATCCTTACCTACCATAGTGTTAAGACGAGCCTACAGATTTCTCCTCCACCACCCGCGGCGAAGGCCTTCCCACGATTGGGGGGAACTGGAGTTTGACATGATCGGTGGACTGGAAAAAAGGAGACATGTGTTGTGACAAAATTTCAAGTCAGGATAAACATAGCTTTGGAAACAAAAACGACAAATTCAACACCGAATAGTACATAACATAAGTTGGGCTTTAGATTTGGCCTATTATCACACTAATGTCAAAATTGTCATTTTTTTATTTCAAGAAATATTTCAATTTTGATACAAATTTTTGTGACAACATACTTTGGTATTGTGCCAAAGTGGTTGATTATTTTCATATTTTTAAGAAGTTCCACGGCATCTGATAAATCGATAGCACCACAAGTGCGGGTGCACTGGATACATTCCTGGGGGCGCCCCCCTAACTTGTAGGGCAAGCTAGAGGGGGGCGAATTGGAGGAGGACTCCTCCCTCCTTGTGGATCCCCCTCCCCTCCCTCCAACCTATACATACTAGAGGTTTTTTTGCCCTTTGAGCACACAAGTTTTTGGAGCCTCCTCTAGTTCTCTAGCTCTAGTTCTAATTTGAAGTTGATCTAATTAGAGCTAGACCTAGATCTCTCTAACCCTCATAATAGAGAAGCCATGTGCGGTTTTCTTCTTCTCCCTCTAATTCCCTGGCGACGATTAACTCTGGACGGCGAAGCACTGCCGGATCGTGAAGCATGTATGCATGCATTCCGTAGAGAGGTCGTGCTTTCAGTCTTCGATTTGAGGTACCGTTCGTGAACGGTTCGTGGGACTTCAAGAACGATCTACACCAACTCTTCTTCCACTGCAGCTCGAAGCTGGTAATGATCCGATATAAACCTATAATGCATCTTCATAGTGTTCCTGGTTCGATCGTAGGACCAATTTTTTAGTTTTCTACTACATTTCCCAACACAACCATGAGTGAAATTCCGATAGGACCACATGGCATTTTCTGAAACCATATTTTTCTAATCTACAACTTGTCACGTTGCCAACATTGGGTGTCAATTTGCGTGTCAAGGGTGGACATGCAACTGGGGCGGATAGGTTGTGTGTGAAGGGTGGACATGTAACTAGGTCGGGTAGCAAAAAGTAGTGTGTCAGGAGTGGACATGCCACTAGGTTGAGAGGTGAGTTGTCTGTTGAGGATGGACATGCATGTGACTGGGTCGGGCGAGTTGAATGTCAAAGGTTAACATGCAATTAGGTCGTCTGAGTTTGGTCAAGGGTGGATATGCAACTGGGTTGGGGCGAGTCGCGTATCGATGGTGGGCATGCAATTGGGTCGGTTGAGTTTCGGGTCAATGGTGAACATGCAGCTGGGTTGGGGCGAGTTGCATATCTAAGGTGGACATGCAAGTGGGTCGTTTGAGTTTTTGAGTCAAGAGTGGACATGCAACTGGGTCGGGAGCGAGTTGCGCTTCGAGGGTGGACATGCAACTGGGTCGGTTGAGTTTCAGGTCATGGGTGGACATCCAACTGGGTCAAGCGAGTTGCACGTCGAGGATGGACATTCAACTACTTCATTTGAGTTATTGAGTCAAGAGTGGACATGTGGTTGGGTCCGGGCGAGTTGTGTTCCGATGGTGGACACGCAAGAGGGTCATTTGGATTTTTGAGTCAAGAGTGAATGTGTAACTGGGTCAGGGCAAGTCATGTTTCGACGGTGGACATGCAACTGGGTCGGGCTAGTGGGTAGGGGATCGGGCAAGTCTCATATTAAGAGTGGACATACAACTAGGTCGGGTCTGGAGTGATTTGTGTGTCGACGATGGACATGCTATTGGGTCGGGTCGGGATAAGTTGTGTTTCGCGGGTTGACATGAAACTAGATCAGGTCAGGGATAAGTTGTTTGTCAAGGATGGTTATGCAACTAGTTCGGGTTAAAAATAAGTTGTGTGTCGGACAAGTTGCGTGTCATCCTCGCAAATGGGTTACAACAATTAAAAATATCCATGTTTGTAGCGAAATTGTACAATGTTAGTAATTGCCTGTCCAGTGATTAATGAGATTGCACGATTAATGAGTTTGCACCAAAAATGCAGCTTTTAATTGTGTGGTGCTTTAGATGTGCACAAAAGACTGAATTCTTGACTCGTGTGGTGCTCTAGCAAAACCATCAATAGCTAAAAATCATCCCTCCATTCCTAAATATTTGTCTTTCTAGATATTTAAAATGTAGTATCACATACGGATGTATATATAGACATATTTTAGAGTGTAGATTCACTCATTTTGTTTCGTATGTAGTCATTTGTTGAAATATCTAGGAAGATAAATATTTAGGAACGGAGGAAATATGTGAGATTTACCAAAATGCTAAAAAAAACTCAAACTACTAATTAAAGGGAAAGATATACTATTTGATTATTATAACAACTCTCCATTATGCTTTCAAAATAAACTCTCCATTATTTCCTGTCTCTTAAATAAACTCTCCATGGTACCCTAAAAAGAAAACTCTCCATGGCCATGCATACATAAGCACCGCCCTTATTTATGTTTCCTGGCGAATTAAAACTAGCAATAAACGCTATAAAAAGAGGTGAACACCCTGCGCCGCCTCTTTAATTTGACTCGGCAAGCTATCGCTAGGGCACCATGGAGAAGGCGGCGAGGCGCCCAAGCAAGAAGGCTCGCAGGATGCCTGCCGACTCCGACGGCCTGGCGGCGCTCGCCCTCCGCCTCTCCAAAAAATTCTCAGGCCGCGAGGAGCACGAGGGCCAGAACATCATGTTCTCGCCGCTGTCCATCTACACCGCCTTGGGCCTCCTGGCGGCCGGCGCCCAGGGCGACACTCTGGACGAGATCCTGGCTGTGCTCGGCGCGACGTCGCGCGACGAGGTCGCGGCGGTCATGCGACTAGTGTCCAAGCACGCCCTCGCCGTCGACGATCCCTCCGGCCCGCTGGTCGTTACGTCCGCGTGCAGCGTGTGGTGCCACAAAGATCTGCCGCTGAAGCCGGCCTACCGGAAGGCCGCCGTCAAGTCCTATAAGGCGGACGCACGCGCCGTCGACTTTGTGAGTAAGGTCCGTACAATATTTCTTGGGCGATGCAATCGATCTGTAACACATGTTTGTGGCTTCCAATTTCAAGTTTCAACCCTGATCGATCTGTCTCCTGATGCATGCAGCCGGAGGATGCGAGGAAGGAGATCAACAGGTGGGTCGCCAAGGCCCCGAAGAAGCTCATCACGTCCGTCCTACCACGGGGCTCAGTGCACCGCGACACCAGGCTCGTGCTTACCAATGCCATCTACTTCAAGGGTATGTGGGAGAACACCTTCAGCAAGAGCCGCACCGAAGACCACACGTTCCACCGCCTCGACGGCAGCACCGTCCAGGTGCCATTCATGGAGGGAAGCAGACGCGACAAGTACCTGGTGTCCACATTTGACGGGTTCAAGGTGCTCAAGCCCCCGTACAAGAAGGTGGCCAAGGGCCGCGCGGTGCGCGGTACTCGATGTGCATCTTCCTCCCGACGGCGCGAGACGGGCTGCGTAGCCTTGCAGACAAGCTGGCGTCTGGCGCGCCAGGGTTCCTGTTCGACAACCTGCCCACTTGGTCAAGTGAGGTGAAGCTCCGGCTACCCAAGTTCAAGCTGTCCTTCTTCTGCAGCATGAAGAAAGTTCTCAAGAGCTTGGGGCTCCGGGCGGCGTTCAGCGAGGGGGCCGATCTGTCTGACATGGTGGAGGACTCAAGTGGAAACACTGTGCGGCTGCGGGTAGAGGATGTGTTCCATAGGGCGGTTGTGGAAGTGAACGAGGAAGGCACTGAGGCGGCTGCATCCACCGCCTTCGTCATGGTATTTTTATGCGCCTCAGATCCTGTTGATTTCGTCGCCGACCATCCATTTGCCTTCTATATAGTGGAGGAGGTTTCCCGTTCGGTGGTCTTTGCCGGCCACGTCCTCGACCCTTCCGAAACCGAGTAAACGATATCATGTGTCGAAGATAGATACATAAGCACTTTTGATGAATTGGCACCATAGATCTACTACGGAGTTATGTTCGTTCACTTTAGACAAGACAACTTTTTCCAATAAGATTTTCAAAATAATTATTCGGGATATCTTATGGCATTCTTTATCAAATACTAGTATGTGTTTCCTGATATGGAATTTCCTGATGGAAAAAGGTCGTCGTTGTTAGTTGTCTGGTTTCATCATTCTCTCCACCTAATAATATGGCTTAGACAGAAATCTAGGCCCTATTTGTTTCAGCACTCTTTACCCGCAAAAAGAAAAGCACTCTCGAATTATTTTTTCCGTTCACTTTAGACAACCCAGCTATTAGTCCCAGCTTATTCTGTTATGATCATACCCTGTTCATATAAAAACAGGGATATCTTCTGGCATTTTTATGAAATGTACTAGTATGTGTTTGCCGATGGATTTTTCTGATGGAAAAAGGTCATCGAGTTTTCTTCACGCACCAACCTACCAGGGAAGTAAAGAGAAGGCGGCTTCTCGTTGATGCACCATGATCAGTAACAAAATAGAGAGGATGGAGAACTAAGAGAAATTGTTTAACCGACATCTGTGATATCCTCGCCAGCAATGGATGGGTGGTTGGGTATCATGGTATTCCATAGGATTGCCCACTAAGGTGTTCCACAAATCATCATGAACTGGAGAAATATTTGGAGAAAAAGTGTAGCACCCCATGCTTTCTGTTTTTCTATCGTTGTGGCGAATAGACTCGCTCCAATGGTGGACGAAACCCGTTGGCAAGGTTGATAAGGG